GGGGGAGAGAAAGGACGGGCAGGTGAGCAGGGGACCAGACGACCCCCACCACCCCACATTTCTAACCCTTTCCTAGCTGTCCTGTTCCACTGCATACGGACATGCCGGGGCCATGCCAAGCAGAGGCTCTTCCACTGAGCCACAACCCCTCTTTACAGCTCTCCACGGTCTCAGGCGGAGGTCTTTCCCATCAACTACTGCCTGGTCCTTGTAACTGGAGATGCTGCCGGGGATTGAACCAGGGGCCTTCTGCATGCCAAGCAGAGGCTCTCCTACTGAGCCACAGCCCCTCTTTACAGCTCGCCAGGGTCTCAGGTGGAGGTCTTTCCCATCACCTACTGCCTGGTCCTTGTAACTGGAGATGCTGCCGGGGATTGAACCAGGGGCCTTCTGCATGCCAAGCAGAGGCTCTCCTACTGAGCCACGGCCCCTCTTTACAGCTCTCCACGGTCTCAGGCGGAGGTCTTTCCCATCACCTACTGCCTGGTCCTTGTAACTGGAGATGCTGCCGGGGATTGAACTAGGGATGTGCATTTCGGGATCCCGAACCGAAAAAAAAAGCCGAAAATAACGATTTTCGGCTTTTTTCGGCTTTTGGGATCCCGAATTAGCAATTTATGAGCTTGTCCGAATCCCGAAAAAAATTCCCGAAAAATTCGGGTCCATTATAACCAATGGGGCCATTGAAGTCAATGGCAAAAATCCTCTTGGAACTTTGCGGGGGGCTGGGGGGGAGGGGGTTTGGGGTAGAGGCTCCAAACTTGGAGCGTGCTTACTGGAACCTCTCCCCAACATACCCACCAAGTTTCAAGACGATTGGACCAGGGGGTACAATTTTATGGGCCCCCAAACAGGTTGCCCCCAGATCAGCTTGCTGCAGTTTATTCGCGGTTTGCCGCCGAAATTCGGCGGCAATTCGGCAACATTGTATCCTATGGACCTTGGAGTGGGTAAGCTCCAAACTTGGAGGGTGGTTACTAGAACCTCTCCCCTACATACCCACCAAGTTTCATGAAGATTGGACCAGGGGGTCCAATTCTATGGGCCCCCAAACAGGTTGCCCCCATCCCATTGTTCTCTATGGTGGGAAAAAAATTACGTTTTTCCCCACCATAGAGATCAATGGAGGGATGGGGGCAAACTGTTTCGGACAGCATGTTTGCAAACTTTTGCCAGACCAGCCAGCCCCAGCCACACTGCAGCAGAGAAGAACCATACAAGTGCCCCCCCACAACCTGTGCCGCCAAACTGGGTGCCCAAAACCCCAAAACCAACACAACTTGGCTCAAACCAAAGAATCTCTCTACAGCAGCAGCACTGAGGTAGCATGTCTGTGCATTACCAATGCCAGACAGACAGGCCCAGCAGCAGGACCAGAGCAATCTGCCCCCCCCACAACCTGTGCCAAGGTGCAACCAATCAGTGCCCAGACCAACTTGGTGCAAACCAGAGAATTTCTGCAGACAGCAGCAGCAGCCCACAGACTGAGGGAGCAAGCAAGTGCATGCCAGCCAGGCCCCAGCATTGCAACAGAAGAACAAGAGCAATCTGCCACCTGTGCCAGGCCAGCCAGGTTGCCATGCCAGTCAGTGCCCCAAAACCAGAACTAGGTCAAACCAGAGAATCTCTCCAGACTGCACTGGAGCGGCAGCACACAGGCTGAGGGAGCATGTATGTGCATCGCCAATGCCAATGCCAGCCAGCCAGGCCCAGCAGCAGAACCAGTCCACCACAAGTGTGCCAATGTGCCAGTGCCCAAAAAACCCCAAAAGCAAAACAATCTCTCCCCTCTGCAGTGGCAGCGGCCTACATAGGGGAGCATGTTTGCTAATGGCAGCCATGCCCAGCTGCAGAACCAGAGCAATCTCAACTTCCCCCCAACAACCTCTGTGCCAGTCACCCAACTTACTGGACTCAGTCCAAACCTGAGGATTTCTGCAGTATAAATGAAGGGGGGGGCAGGCAGGGCCTGTGCAAGTGACGTGAGCAATCACTAGGGGTGTGCGTGCGAATCCCCACTCAGCGCACCTGAAGAGAGGCAAAGGGAGGCCAGAGGAACCCAGATGCCCCCAAATTAGAGTGGCTGCCAACTCTCCAGGTGGTGCCCAAAGATTGAGATAGGATGATTCCCAGGTTGGGGAATCATCCAGAGGGGTCCCACGTATGCTACCTCTAGGAAGGTGGCAGCAAGGAAGTAAGATAGCTCCACCCCCACCGGGCAGGGGCAGGCAGGCAAAAACATCCCGAGCCACACAGCGGCTGGCTTGTGGGTCTCCCCGCCCCGTTCCCAGCAATGCAGGAGGTTTTGGGCAAATTGTTGAGAGTGGGGGGTTGGTCAATGGTAACAATCCTTTTTTAGCCTGTGGCCAGTGGCCACCTTTGGATTTCCAAAGCGGAGCGGACTAGTAGTCATCTCTCCTTACAGTCTCTCCTGGCCATGGAGCAGGCGGGCTGGGTGTGGTTGGGGGAGGGGCGTGCAGTGCACAGGTTCTGCTGCTGTCCCCTGCCCTGAACAGGGGACCAAGCCCGACTCCCAAGTTCCCAACTCCTTTTCAGCCTCTCGGCAGCCCACCTTTGGATTTCCAAAGCAGGCTAGGCAAATAGCGCTTCTGGTCATGGAGGAGGGGCCTCTGGGCCTCTGGGGTTGTAAGGGAGACGTCTCTGTGTGAATCTCCTGCATTGCTGGGCACAGAGGTTGATGGGGGGAAGTTGAGATTGCTCTGGTTCTGCAGCTGGGCATGGCTGCGATTAGCAAACATGCTCCCCTATGTAGGCCGCTGCCACTGCAGAGGGGAGAGATTGTTTTGCTTTTGGGGTTTTTTGGGCACTGGCACATTGGCACACTTGTGGTGGACTGGTTCTGCTGCTGGGCCTGGCTGGCTGGCATTGGCATTGGCGATGCACATACATGCTCCCTCAGCCTGTGTGCTGCCGCTCCAGTGCAGTCTGGAGAGATTCTCTGGTTTGACCTAGTTCTGGTTTTGGGGCACTGACTGGCATGGCAACCTGGCTGGCCTGGCACAGGTGGCAGATTGCTCTGGTTCTTCTGCTGCTGGGCCTGGCTGGCTGGCATGCACTTGCTCCCTCAGTCTGTAGTGGCTGCTGCTGCTGTCTGGAGAGATTCTCTGGTTTGACCTAGTTCTGGTTTTGGGGCACTGACTGGCAATTGGCAACCTGGCTGGCCTGGCACAGGTGGCAGATTGCTCTGGTTCTTCTGCTGCTGGGGCCTGGCTGGCATGCACTTGCTCCCTGTAGTGGGCTAGTGGCTGCTGCTGCTGTCTTGAAAGATTCTCTGGTTTGACCTAGTTCTGGTTTTGGGGCACTGACTGGCAATTGGCAACCTGGCTGGCCTGGCACAGGTGGCAGATTGCTCTGGTTGTTTCTTCTGCTGGGCCTGTCTGGCACAATGCACATGCTAGTGCTGCTGCTACTGTAGAGAGATTCTTTGGTTTGAGCTAAGTTGTAGTTTTGGGGTTTTGGGCACCCAGTTTGGTAGCGCAGGTGGGGGGGCACTTGTATGGTTCTGCTGCAGTGTGGCTGGCTGGTCTGGCAATGTACAGTTTGAAATTGCAACACGCAGCACACTCCCCCAAACAGTTTGCCCCCATCCCTCCATTGTTCTCTATGGTGGGAAAAAAATTACATTTTTTCCCACCATAGAGAACAATGGGATGGGGGCAACCTGTTTGGGGGCCCATAGAATTGGACCCCCTGGTCCAATCTTCATGAAACTTGGAGGGTGTGTTGGGGAGAGGTTCTAGTAACCACCCTCCAAGTTTGGAGCCTCCAACTCCAAGGGCCATATGATACAATGTTGCCGAATTGCCGCCGAATTTCGGCGGCAAACCGGGAATAAACTGCAGAAGGCTGATCTGGGGGCAACCTGTTTGGGGGGCCATAGAATTGTACCCCCTTGTCCAATCGCCTTGAAACTTGGTGGGCATGTTGGGAAGAGGTTCCAGTGAGCACCCTCCAAGTTTGGAGCCTCTACCCCAAACCCCCTCCCCCCCAGCCCCCCGCAAAGTTTCAAGAGGATTTTTGCCATTGACTTCAATGGCCCCATTGGTTACAATGGACCCGAATTTTTCGGGATTCCCGAAAATTTTCGGATATCTATGCTTTACCGGTATAGATATTCGGGTTTTTTCGGGTTTCCCGAAAAAATTCGGGTCCAATAAACCCGAATCCGAATTTTACCGAATTTTTTTTTTTTGCACATCCCTAGATTGAACCAGGGGCCTTCTGCATGCCAAGCAGAGGCTCTCCTACTGAGCCACAGCCCCTCTTTACAGCTCTCCAGGGTCTCAGATGGAGGTCTCTCCCATCACCTCCTGCCTGGTCTTTTTTAACTGGAGATACCGGGGATTGAAACTGGGGCCTTATGCATGCGTAACAGAGGCTCTTCCACTGAGCCACAGCCCCTCTTTTGCATCACCTACTAACTGTTTTTTTTTAAAAAAAGACTGGAGATGCTGCAGGGGATTGAACTTGGGACCTACTGCATGGCAAGCAGATGCTTTACCACTGACCCACACCCCCTCTCCGAATCTCTCTAGCTGGAAGTATGGCTCACATCAACAAAATCTGTCAAGAGCTGAGCTAGATGCGAGTCTGGTAGTGCCTTAACAGACCAACAAGGTTATCTGGGTAAAGCCTTTCAAGAATCGGCGCTCCTTTCCTCAGGTATCAGCTTTACCCCCAAAATCTTATTGGCCTCTAAGGTGCTTGCGGACTCGCATCTACCTTTTTTCCTGCATGGCTAACCTCCCCCCCAGAAACTGTCAAGAGCTGCTAACCAAAAAACCGTGCCTGGCTCATTCTGACTCACAAACTCCCAAAGCAGCTCTCCCTCTGCCCGGATGCTCTTACCGGTGAGCAGCGTCCGGGTCTGCTTTGCGGTGGGACCTCTTTGGTTTCAGGGCGGGGTCCCTGTTGCTTCCTGACAGGCGGTCCGAGGCATAGCCGGGCGTCAGCACAGAGCTGCTCAACGATCGCGTCTCCAGCCGGGGAGCGTCGAGTCTGGTTCTGAAAGCACGAGACGGAGAGAGACGGAAGGGGATTAGGCTGTCTGAATAATGCTCCGTGTGTCGGGTCCAGGGAAATTTCTTGCCGAGTGGATGGGCAGTTAATTTTTAAGATGAGAACATCAGAAGACACCTGCTGGGTCAGACCAGTGAGGGCCCATCTAGTTCAGCCTCCCGCCACACACGGTGGCCAACCAGTTCCTCCGGAGGGCCAACAAGAGGGCAGAGAGGCCGAGGCCTTCCCCTGAGAAGAACCTCAGAAGAGCCCTGCTGAATCAGACCAGTGAGGGTCCATCTAGTCCAGCCTCCTGTCTCACACAGGGACCAACCAGTTTTTCTGGAGGGCTAACAACAGGGCAGAGAGGCCGAGGCCTTTCCCTTATAAGAAGAGCCCTGCTGGGTCAGACCAGTGAGGGTCCATCTAGTCCAGCATCCTGCCTCACACAGGGGCCAACCAGTTCCTCTGGAGGGCCAACAACAGGGCAGAGAGGCCGAGGCCTTCCCCTGCTGTTGCATGGAGATCAAGCAGAGGAACACACGACTGTACCATCACCACGAGATCCCCTGTGTGACAGAGTGCTGGACGGAGTGGGCCACTGGCCTGATCTAACATGGCTTCTCTTATGTTCTTACAAACCAACTGGGCTATGGTGCTCCCGCAAAAAAAAACACACCACAATTTTTTTGCTCGGAAATCATGGCAGAACCAGAACAGGGAGGTTGTGGTGCAGAGGGAATGACGACAAAACTTGTGCCAGGGCAGAGTTGGAAGGAGAACTCCAAGTCTCAAGAGAACCCACAGTGGTGTGCGAGGACAGAAAGCCGCGGTTTTTGTTTTTAAAACCAAGGGAAATTTGCCACTGTCCCAGCCAAACGTCTCTTGGCAAGAAGGGCAGCAGTACGGCCTCAAGAGGCTGGTACTGGAGTTCCAATCTGGAGGAGACAAAAGCCCACCACGCCGCGTGCCTGAGGACCACTGGGCAAGACACCTTTCCCACCCCACCACCTGTCTTTTCAAAGCTCTCCTGCGGCTGGCCCTGGAGATGCCAGGGACTAAACTCAGGACCTCTTCCGTGGCTTTAACTTGCTTCAAGTCATTATGGAGGGAGTTTTAGATCAGCAGAAAGGAAAGCACAAAAACCACTGACTAGAGATAACCAATATATGAAATGTGTAATAATAATTCAGTAATACAAAAATATATAATTATATAACAATATTGGCCAAGGTGTAACCAAGATACAGAAAGAGGAAGAAGAAGAACGGAAAGAAGAATAAAGTCCCAAGTATTTTACTGTGTCTGACTCCAGTAGCGTTGTAATATCATAGTCCAATTTGACGTGCAGTTCGTCATGGAGTGGACATTTCAGAAGTTCCATAAGCCATAAAAGGCCATGAGGCTGGAGTCCGGATGCTGGCTGCCGCGTTTTGAGTTGTTCTTATTCCCACAATCCTTCTTGACTGATTATACTGGCCCTGGGCCCTTCGGGGGAGGGCGGGGTATAAGTCTGATTAATAAATAATTAAATAATTAAATAAATAATTGTATGTGCCGTCTACTGAGATTGAGTCCCATTATAGCCCAATGTTTTGGAATAAGAACAACTCAAAACGCGGCAGCCAGCATCCGGACTACGCCTCATGGCCTTTTATGGCTTATGGAACTTCTGAAATGTCCACTCCATGACGAATTACACGTCAAATTGGACTATGATATTACAACGCTACTGGAGTGCGACACAGTAAAATACTTGGGACTTTATTCTTCTTTCCGTTCTTCTTCTTCCTCTTTCTGTATCTTGGTTACACCTTGGCCAATATTGTTATATAATTATATATTTTTGCATAACTGAATTATTATTACACATTTCATATACTGGTGATCTCTAGTCAGGGGTTTTTGTGCTTTGTGCTCTGTTCCGATCCTTGTACACTGGCTCCCCTTCTTTTTTGACTGCCAGCAGAAAGGAAAGGCAATCCCCATTTCTTCCAAGCCAACCACAGAGCACTGCAGAGATAACTCTTGAGTAGGTCGTGAATAGTATTTCCTTTCAGCTCTTTGCAAAGAGGGGTTCCTCCAAGACATTAAGAATCAGTTTGGCTAAAGTAAAACTATGCAAAACCCCCCCCCCCACGAAAAATTCTAAATTACAAAACTTTCAATGGCAGGAAACTGCCGGGCTCACTGTACGCGCCTCCGCTCCAAAAACGCTACATGGTTTTGCCTTAGAAAAGGGAAATCGCTTTGCGATAATCAGCCCCGGTTTAACACAGGCAGCGATCAAGAACGCAAAGCTATTCCTCTTCTTGGAGACACGGGCTCCCGTCTACATCCCTGGCTGGATTTCGGAGCTTACTTCCTAAGGATGATGACCGCTCTCCTCTCCTTGATGTCTTGTGGTCGAATGCAGTGCGTGATTTCATCAGCTGCGTAGCCACTGGGGGGAGAGAGACAAGAAACCGTGAGTCAAGAGGGATCTCAGAACCAGCCAACTTATTCTTTTTTTCCCCAAAAGGCCATTGCTCTTCCAGCTCCTAGAATTCCATCGAATATATCTCGAGACAAGAGCTTTGACTAAACTAAATATGAGCAGTCAGTGTGATGCGGTGGCAAAAAAGGCAAATCCAGTCTTGGGTTGTATCGAAAGGGCCATGGCATCGGAATAGCAGGAGGTCGTAGCCCCTCTGTATACTGCCTCGGTCCGGCCGCAGCTGGAGTAACGTGTGCAGTTCTGGAGGCCTCGCTTCAAAAAGGACGTGGGCAAAATCGAGAGAGTGCAGAAGAGAGCGACAAGAATGATCAGGGGTCTGGGGACTGAGCTCTATGAGGAGAGGATGAGGGCCCTGGGAATGTCCAGTTTGGAGAAGAGGAGATTTGGGGGGGGGACGTGATTGCTCTCTTTAAATATTTGAGAGACTGTCATTTGGAGGAGGGCCAGGAGCTGTTCCAGTTGGCAGCAGAGGAGAGGACCCGAAGCAACGGGTTTAAATTACATGCAGAAAGGTACCGGCTGGATATTAGGAAAAACCTTTTTCACAGTCAGAGTGGCTCAACGGTGGAATCAGCTGCCTCTGGAGGTAGCTCCCCTTCACTGGCAGCTTTCAAGAAGAGGCTGGACGAATATTTGTCAGGGATGCTCTAGGCTGGTCCTGCATTGGGCAGGGGGTTGGACTAGACGGTCTCTATGGCCCCTTCCAACTCTAGGATTCTATGACTCTTGAAGCCTCATACCCCAAAAAACTTGTTGATCTCTAACGGGCTGCCGGACTCCAATCTTGCCCTTCTCCTGCAGACAAACACGGCTACCACCCAAAAATAAACTTCCTGTGTGCGTTCCCTCTGCAGAAATCGGTCTTGACATTGTAACTCGCCCTGATTCATGACAGCATCTATAAGCCAGATGTGACCCACTTTCTTCTTAATGGGCTAGATTCGAGTCCAGTTAGCGCCTCGGAGACCAAGCAGATTCTTTGGGGTATGAGCTCTCATAGAATCATAGAACGTTAGAGTTGGAAGGGACCTTGCAGGTCATCCAGTCCAACCCCCTGCACTCTGCAGGTGCATAGCCGAAAGAGAGCCCTACAACATACCCAAAAGATGGTCGTTCAGTCTCCGCTTGAAAACGTCCAGCGAAGGAGCATCTAACCACCTCCCAAGGCAGACTGTTCCACTGCTCAACCGCGTTAGGAAGCTTCTCCTGATATTTAGCCGGTATCGACTCCCTTGTAATTCCCACCCATTAGATCTAGCCTTGCAATCCGGAGCAAGAGAGAAGAGATCCGCTCCATCTTCTACATGACAGTCCTTCAGATACTTGAAGACTGCAATCGTGTCCCCTCTAAGCCTTCTCTTACCCAGGCTAAACAGACCCAGCTCTTTCAGCCTTTTCCTTTCGAGAGCCAACGCTCCCTTTATCAGTGATGACTAGGAACATAGACTCCCTCAGCCTTTATAAATTAGTCAGAAGATGCAAGGAGTATGACAAAGAAAACTTTTAATCTCGAAAGCTCATACCCTCCAAAAGCACCTGGTCTCAAATCTGGCTGTGCCACTGAATGTACAACACAGCTACAGTTACTGGTCCCCGACGGTTCCCAAAAGGCGATCGCTCCGCGTCACCACCACCTCTGCCACGTGGAGTCCCTTGGGGGTAAAGCAAAGCCCTCAACCACTGGAAGAGCAGCGCAGGACTGAAGTGTTCAGCTCAGAGGACGTACGCCACCGGAGCTTACGCCCCCGTCTCAAGTGCTTGGGGGCTGGGTGTGGAACGCTCCGAACGGGCACGTTCTCATCAAGAAACAGCGTCGGCATGGGGGGAACACAACTTGGAACTCTCAACATAAAGTTGGTTTAATTCCATTTGTTTTGAGATGGAGTGACTCTATAAAAGACGCCACGGTGTTCAGTTTGTAAGGCCTGAGCCAGGTTTGTTAACAACAGGATGTCTTGGAGGGCAGTGATTCATCAGGCTGCCATGAGTCAGAAGGAACCTGACGGAACAGAAGAAGAAGAGGAGGAGGAAGGAGATTGGATTTATACCCTGCTCTTCACTCAGAGCGGCTTACAGTCTCCTTTCCCTTCCCCTCCCCACAACAGACCCCCCGTGAGGGAGGTGGGGCTGAAGGAGCTGTCTCGAGGACTGCTCTCGAGATAACAGCCCTGAGAGAACTTGTGACTGACCCAAGGTCACACCAGCAGCTGCATGTGGAGGAGTGGGGAATCAAACTTGGTTCTCCCAGATTAGAGTCTGCGCTTCTAACCACTACACCAAACGGAGGCACAATTTATTCCCCACCTTTCTCCCCAATGGGAACCTGAGGTGGCTTAAATCATTCCCTTTGATTTAATCCACACAACAACCCGGTGAGGTAGGTTAGGCCGAGAGTGCGCGACAGGCCCAAAGTCACCTGGCAAGCTTCCGTGGCAGGGTGGGCATTCCAACCTGCTTCTTCCAAATCCTAGTCCGACACTAACCACCAAACCACACTGGCTCTCTACATTCTAACATTTGGGTAATCTCTGTGTGTCAAGTGGCATCCAGTCGCAGCTGACTTATGGGGACCCCGTAGGATTTTCTCGAAAAGAGACATTCGGAGGTAGTTTGCCGTTGCCTGCCCCTGCATAGCAACCTTGGACTTCCTGGGTGGCCTCCCATCCAAGTACTAACCAGGGCCGACCCTGCTTAGCTTCTGAGATCTGATGAGGTCAGGCTAGTCTGGCTCATCCAGGTTAGGGCCAGGTGATTTCTGCACTGTTTCTTAAGAAGAAGAAGAAGAGGAGGAGATTGGATTTACACCGCGCCCTTCACTTGGAGTCTCAGAGCGGCTTACAAACTCCTTTTCCTTTCCCTCCCCACTAACAGACACCCTGTGAGGTTAGGTGGGGCAGAGAGAGCTCTTTCAAGGACAGCTCTCGTCAGAACTATGGCTTGCCCAAGGTCACCCAGCAGCTGCAAGTGGAGGAGTGGGGAATCAAACCCGGTTCTCCCAGATTAGAGTCCGCGCGCTGAACCATGACACTGCCTCTGTTCATCTAATGCCGGGAACACCCTGTGGAAGCCATCGCCATGAGTCAGTCGTGACTCGACGACACCTTCTTCAGTGAGCAGAAAGAAAAAGAAATACCGACGCGGACGTTTACAAGGCAGCACTGGCAAGATCAAACAGCAGCAACTCGACTCTCCCCTATTAATGAAACCCCGTTTAACCACTGCGGCTTGTTGTGGGAGTTTGGTATCGTTGGACGCGCGGGTTTGGCACACGCCGGGAGAAGAGATTCCCAGAATCCTCGCAGGATCACCCTTCCCTGGGCCTGGCGTGGCAACTGAAACAGTTGAGATTTTTAGGGCAAACGAGGCTCCAGGGTTTATAGCTGTGGCTCGGTGCCCAGAACTCCAGGCCATCCTGAATGCTTTGCTAATGAAGCTTGCGAAGAGATACAGCAGCATTGGGGTGTGCGTGGGGGGTTAGAGAACGCCGATGGATTTCCTAGATCTCTAGAGAAACACGGCACGACAGCAGTTCATTCCAGAAGGTTTATTCCACTGTTGCAGCTTGCTTGGAATGTCCGTCCTTTGGAAGGATCATTAGGAAGGGAATTGAAAACAGATCGGTCAGTATCATAATGCCCCTGTATAAATCGATGGTGCAACCTCATTTGGAGCACTGTGTGCAGTTCTAGTCACCACACCTCAGATGGGATAGTATAGCTTTGGGAAAAGTGCAGAAAAGGGCAACTAGAATGATAAAAGGGCTGGAACACTTTCCCTGTGAAGAAAGGTTAAAGCGCTTGGGGCTCTTTGGCTTGGAGAGACGATGGCTGAGGGGTGACATGATTGAGGTTTACAAGATTATGCATGGGATAGAGCAGGTATAGAAAGAGGTACTTTTCTCCCTTTCTCACAATACAAGAACTCCTTGTGGGCACTCCATGAAATTGCTGAGCAGTCGGGTTAGAACGGATAAAAGGAAGTCCTTCTTCACCCAAAGAGTGATGAACACCTGGAGGTGGGGGCGGCTACAAGCATGGACAGCTTCAAGAGGGAACTGGATAAACGTATGGAGCAGAGGTCCATCCGTGGCTGTTAGCCACAAGGTATAGATAGGAACTCTCGGTCTGGGGCAAGTGATGCTCTGCATTCTTGGTGCTTGGGAGGGGGGCGGGAACAGTGGGAGGGCTTCTAGTGTCCTGGCCCCACTGCTGGACCTCCTGATGGCACCTGGTATTTTTGGCCACTGTGTGACACAGAGTGCTGGACTGGATGGGCCATTGGCCTGATCCAACATTGGCTTCTCTTATGTTCTTATGTAGCGTCGAGTCCACCAGAGTTCTGTCCCTGGGTAAAAAGGCCCCTTTATTCTCCAAGTAGTTCTGGGGTGTAATAGAGAACACAGGTTGTTTTTGTTTCGTTCCCCCACTACTTAACTGCTAGGTAATAATTTCAGTCATTCTTGCTGTACCGTTTTATTTATTTCCTTCATTTATACCCTCCCGTGCTCTCCAGCAGAGACCCAAAGCAAGCTTACGTTGCTTTCCTCTCCTCTTTTTTTCAACCCTTTACAACAACCTGGTGAGGTGGCTGCGGTTCAGAGAGTGTGAACTTCCATGGCAGAGTTGGGGGGGGGGGTCCCGAACTTGAGTCTCCCAGATCCGAGCCTGACCCACTAACCACTGCAAGTTCCGGCTTGTAGTGCCAGTTTGGTGTCGTGGTTAAGAGTGGTGGACTCTAATCTGGGAGAATCGGGTTTGATTCCCCACTCCTCCTCCACATGCAGCCAGCTGGGTGACCTTGGGACAGTCGCAGCTCTCTCACAACTCTCTCAGCCCCACCTGCCTCACAGGGTGTCTGTTGTGGGGAGAGGAAGGGAAGGTGACCATAAGCTGCTCTGAGACTCCTTTGAGTAGTGAAGGGCAGGGTAGAAAACCAACTCTTCTCTC